CAAATACCTGTACTTTCTACTTCTTACATGTTGAACCCAAATACCTGTACTTTGTATTTCTTACATGTTGAACACTAATACCTGTACTTTCTACTTCTTACATGTTGAACCCAAATACCTGTACTTTCTACTTCTTACATGTTGAACACAAATACCTGTATTTTCTACTTCTTACATGTTGAACCCAAATACCTGTACTTTCTACTTCTTACATGTTAAACACAAATACCTGTACTTTCTACTTCTTACATGTTGAACCCAAATACCTGTACTTTCTACTTCTTACATGTTGAACTCAAATACCTGTACTTTCTACTTCTTACATGTTGAACACAAATACCTGTACTTTCTACTTCTTACATGTTGAACCCAAATACCTGTACTTTCTACTTCTTACATGTTGAACACAAATACCTGTACTTTCTACTTCTTACATGTTGAACCCAAATACCTGTACTTTCTACTTCTTACATGTTGAACACAAATACCTGTACTTTCTACTTCTTACATGTTGAACACAAATACCTGTACTTTCTACTTCTTACACTTTGAACTCAAATACCTGTACTTTCTACTTCTTACATGTTGAACCCAAATACCTGTACTTTCTACTTCTTACATGTTGAACCCAAATACCTGTACTTTGTATTTCTTACATGTTGAACACTAATACCTGTACTTTCTACTTCTTACATGTTGAACCCAAATACCTGTACTTTGTATTTCTTACATGTTGAACACTAATACCTGTACTTTCTACTTCTTACATGTTGAACCCAAATACCTGTACTTTCTACTTCTTACATGTTGAACTCAAATACCTGTACTTTCTACTTCTTACATGTTGAACCCAAATACCTGTACTTTCTACTTCTCACATGTTGAACACAAATACCTGTACTTTCTACTTCTTACATGTTGAACACAAATACCTGTACTTTCTACTTCTTACATGTTGAAAACAAATACCTGTACTTTCTACTTTTTACATGTTGAACACAAATACCTGTACTTTATACTTCTTACATGTTGAACCCAAATACCTGTACTTTCTACTTCTCACATGTTGAACACAAATACCTGTACTTTCTACTTCTCACATGTTGAACCCAAATACCTGTACTTCTACTTCTTACATGTTGAACCCAAATACCTGTACTTTCTACTTCTTCACATGTTGAACACAAATACCTGTACTTTCTACTTCTTACATGTTGAACTCAAATACCTGTACTTTCTACTTCTTCACATGTTGAACCCAAATACCTGTACTTTCTACTTCTTACATGTTGAACACAAATACCTGTACTTTCTACTTCTTACATGTTGAACTCAAATACCTGTACTTTCTACTTCTTACATGTTGAACTCAAATACCTGTACTTTCTACTTCTTACATGTTGAACACAAATACCTGAACTTTCTACTTCTTACATGTTGAACTCAAATACCTGAACTTTCTACTTCTTACATGTTGAACTCAAATACCTGTACTTTCTACTTCTTACATGTTGAACTCAAATACCTGTACTTTCTACTTCTTACATGTTGAACTCAAATACCTGTACTTTCTACTTCTTACATGTTGAACTCAAATACCTGTACTTTCTACTTCTCACATGTTGAACTCAAATACCTGTACTTTCTACTTCTTACATGTTGAACTCAAATACCTGAACTTTCTACTTTTTACATGTTGAACACAAATACCTGTACTTTCTACTTCTTACATGTTGAACTCAAATACCTGAACTTTCTACTTCTTACATGTTGAACTCAAATACCTGTACTTTCTACTTCTTACATGTTGAACTCAAATACCTGTACTTTCTACTTCTTACATGTTGAACTCAAATACCTGTACTTTCTACTTCTCACATGTTGAACTCAAATACCTGTACTTTCTACTTCTTACATGTTGAACCCAAATACCTGTACTTTCTACTTCTTACATGTTGAACTCTAATACCTGTACTTTCTACTTCTCACATGTTGAACTCAAATACCTGTACTTTCTACTTCTTACATGTTGAACTCAAATACCTGTACTTTCTACTTCTTACATGTTGAACCCAAATACCTGTACTTTCTACTTCTTACATGTTGAACTCAAATACCTGTACTTTCTACTTCTGACATGTTGAACCCAAATACCTGTACTTTCTACTTCTTACATGTTGAACTCAAATACCTGTACTTTCTACTTCTTACATGTTGAACTCAAATACCTGTACTTTCTACTTCTTACATGTTGAACTCAAATACCTGTACTTTCTACTTATTACATGTTGAACTCAAATACCTGTACTTTCTACTTCTTACATGTTGAACCCAAATACCTGTACTTTCTACTTCTTACATGTTGAACTCAAATACCTGTACTTTCTACTTCTTACATGTTGAACTCAAATACCTGTACTTTCTACTTCTTACATGTTGAACTCAAATACCTGTACTTTCTACTTATTACATGTTGAACTCAAATACCTGTACTTTCTACTTCTTACATGTTGAACCCAAATACCTGTACTTTCTACTTCTTACATGTTGAACTCAAATACCTGTACTTTCTACTTCTACATGTTGAACTCAAATACCTGTACTTTCTACTTCTTACATGTTGAACTCAAATACCTGTACTTTCTACTTCTTACATGTTGAACTCAAATACCTGTACTTTCTACTTCTTACATGTTGAACTCAAATACCTGTACTTTCTACTTCTTACATGTTGAACTCAAATACCTGTACTTTCTACTTCTTACATGTTGAACTCAAATACCTGTACTTTCTACTTCTTACATGTTGAACTCAAATACCTGTACTTTCTACTTCTCTCATTTTCCAAACAGCTGGTTCCTTTAGTCTGAATGTGTGTTTGATGCGTGATCATTATTCTTTAGAGTCATTGCGTGCCTATTGATTTGAACACGATCCGTATATCCATCATTTCCTGGTCTTCTCTAAAGAAGAGGGACCAATGGAAACGTTGTCATGTTGCCGTTGTTCAGCATGGAAACATTCATTAGCTAACAATGACATTATTGTTCTATTAATATAAAGGGTGGTCAGGTACTCTTTAAAGCAGCTGCTAGCTATGGGTACTTTCTACTGAAGTACATTTCAAAGCCTCTTTACTTTCACTTGAGTAAAGAAGTTTAGTCAGTACTTCTACTTTCACCAGAGTATTTTTAAACATGAGTATCTGTACTTCTACTTGAGTAAAGGATGTGTGTACTTCTACCATCTCTGTGTATAAATAACCTCTGATATTCCCACAGGTTAAACACACAGTGTATTCTGGATGTTCGCAGCTCTCCTGCTCCGTCTTCTCTTTTCTAATTCTGTCTGCTGAGAGTGGAAATGAGAAGGCAGCTGTTTTTTTCTGAGGATATGATACAGCTGCCAAATATAACCTGCAGTAACCCGGAGGAACGGGAGGCCAAACACAAGACAATGTTGAGGATGTTGAGAGTCAAACTCAAGGCCAAATCACAGCCTCTTTTGTATTTAGATTCCGACCACAGATTATTTTTGGTCCGTCTAGTTAATCGACGACGAACCAAAGACCCTTGCATCACAGAAAATATGTCAGGTAGCTGGAAATAAGCCAATATTTAAGGCTAAATAATAGCATGATGCACCTTTTGTAGGTCTGTAAAATAGGCTGGATGTGAGTTTACATGCAATCTTTAGGGTTTTTATGTGCATACAGTTGCATGCTAGAAGGCTGGGCTTACGGACACATGGACTGTATCATCAAGGATATTTAACTTTTCTTTTGTTATTTTTAAATATCCCACACAACCATTGAAAGTCATATCCAGGAGTGAGTGGGCTGTATGTTAGCCAATTTGTTTAAATGTAATGAACATGTATTATTATTTATTTTTTTTCTTGACTAAATGCAGCAATAGCTAAGGCTTTATGTAACTTGTACGCGAGAATGCTATACAGTAGTACACACACAAATATAAAAAACGTATTTAATGTTTTTACGGTTAAATAGAAGCATTTCAAATTAAACAATTGTGCCTGGGCTTTAATGTGAACTTTATTTTCTAGTGTGGCCTTTAATTAAAAAAAAAAAAACGACTTAATGAATAAAAAAATGTACAAAAAATAACCTGTTTTATATTTTTTACATTGATATTTTGGCAACTTTTACATATATTTCTCTCAATAGATTAGACTTGATACCGGACTCAATGCCATTATATCTTATCCTATATTATCTGATAGCAACAGGAAACTGAATGAACCTACTGTACCTCTGCAGAAAACACACCAGCTCACTCCAGTTCCTCTGCAAGAAACAAGAAGATAAAGGTCATTATTGGGAATACAAAACCATTTTGACTGTAATATTAAGAAATAATGGCACTAGATTTAATATCTCACCTTATCTGCTCCAACTGGAAAATACTCAAGACCTTTCCATGTCTGATATTGATATGAAAAGGCTTTGTATCAGTTAAAAAAATGCAGGCTTAAAATGTGAAATAGACTTCAATTCGACTATAATGGGTGTAATTTGTACTGCTATGAATGTCAAAGAGCTTTTCCTTAACCGATAAGCACCAACTAATCTACCTGATGTTCATGCTAACGGTACAACAAACGTTAGCTAATGGCTAGGGTTTAACTGTAAAGATATAAACCTTTTAAAGATCCTTAAGTCTCATTAGTCTTTTGAAAACTAGCTAGGGATTAGCATAACGTTAGCATGAGGAAAGTAGCATTACATTTAGGGTCAGTAACAGTGAAATGATTAGCAACTTCGGAGAGTTGGTGCCCAATAAAAGGCATTCATACTGGTCTGTTAAATCCAAATGAAGGTATCTCTGTGTAATGTTTTAATTTCTTGCCTACAGTTTTAAAGAATGCCCCTCTTTGATAAGGATCTGTAGCTGAAGGTCTTAAACTTGATTTGTTTCTGTATAGATCTGCAGCTGTTGGACCCGTGAGTGTTTACAAATGCAACCAGACTGTGAACAAGATGAACATGAAGCTTCTGTATTTAATGTGACAGCAACAAGACGATTAAAGTACATCACAGTTCTGTTTGAACAGCTTAGAAAAGATCGCATGATGTTGTTTAGTACAGACGAGGGCTGAGTTATACTTCTGCAATCTAAGTTCTGGGTTTTTTAAATCACTTTTGCTGCCCGTTAGCTTGCCATGCTAACACAACTCGTGGTTGTTTCATCCATTGGTGACCGTTAGCTTGAAAAGATAACACAACTCGTGGTTGTTTCATCCATTACTGACCGTTAGCTTGAAAAGATAACACAACTCGTGGTTGTTTCATCCATTACTGACCGTTAGCTTGAAAAGATAACACCACTTGTGGTTGTTTCATCCATTGGTGACCGTTAGCTTGAAAAGATAACACCACTCGTGGTTGTTTCATCCATTACTGACCGTTAGCTTGAAAAGATAACACCACTTGTGGTTGTTTCATCCATTGGTGACTGTTAGCTTGAAAAGATAACACAACTTGTGGTTGTTTCATCCATTGGTGACCGTTAGCTTGAAAAGATAACACAACTCGTGGTTGTTTCATCCATTACTGACCGTTAGCTTGAAAAGATAACACCACTTGTGGTTGTTTCATCCATTGGTGACCGTTAGCTTGAAAAGATAACACCACTCGTGGTTGTTTCATCCATTACTGACCGTTAGCTTGAAAAGATAACACAACTCGTGGTTGTTTCATCCATTACTGACCGTTAGCTTGAAAAGATAACACAACTTGTGGTTGTTTCATCCATTGGTGACCGTTAGCTTGCCAGGCTAACGCCATGTGTGTTTTTTTTTATCCATTACTGACTTTTAGCTGGACATGCTAACGCAGCTTGTGGTTTTGTTCATATATCCTTGACTGTTAGCTTGACATGCTAAAGCAACTTGTGATTGTTTCATCCATTACTGAGCGTTAGCTTGCCAGGCTAACCCAATTTATTGGCTAGCGTTAAACAATTTTCCTCTTTTACTGGGAATGGTCTATTTCTATACGTGAGACGAATGGCTGCCGAAAATTGGCATGGTCAGTTTTAGAATAAGAGAAAATGTAGGTTATCAAATACTATTGAATTAGGTCATTTGATTACTGGAGTTTAGTTTTTGTGTAGAGAAAGGTAGGTTTCTAGCAGGTTTAGCAATGTTTTGCTGCAGAAGCATAAGTCAGATGTCAGAGAACAGCAGGATGGATTTACCACTCGTGTACTAATACTTACATCAGTACATACAGTACAAATTAATCACACTACAGTGTCAATACAGACAAAAGCAGAAGGCAGCTTGGATTCAACTGAAGAGTTTTGTTCCAACGCAAAATATCCAGAAACCAGTCTCATCTACCCGACATTTATTACAGATTTTAGTAAATGTAAGTAAAAACTGTGAAACTGAACTTATGCATTAGATAAAAATACTTTAATTGAATTAATTGGACTTTCATTCATCACTTACTGTACCATAAACACTATCATATTTCTTAGCTTGAGTCATTTTACATCAACGATTATCCAAAGTATTCAAATGTTTTAACATATATCCTTCCACGGCAGTCAATACAAGTATAATGTAGGTTTTTAATGTGGATATGAAGCATTTTGGAATAAAACTCTTCAGTTACAAAGACATCAGACCTGCAACAATCACATTTAACTATCGAACATCTTCTTCCTATCAGACTTGTCTTCAATGTTCTTACGCCAATCTCCGGCATCGCGCAGCTGCTTGTCCTGTGAACACAGAAGATATTTCATTTATTTAAAGCAATGACCAGTACAAAATATAAAATACAGAAGGGGATGAACACGGATCAAATATTCTAAACGAAAGCCAAAAGGTTCATTCTGATAGTTACAGGAATTACATTACAAAAGCTGTATGGAAACGTCAAAACGATATTGAACAAAATGTTATTTACACTTGCTTTAAGTGGTTTTGTTGAAAATAGCATGACGGTTCAGCTGTTGGCAGCCTTTGCTTGTGTTTTACAATATTGCATTAATTAGACCTCATCTCTCTACAGGAGAACACATGTCTTCTTTTTGTCTCGAAGATGGTTAGGCGGCCAAGGGGACCTGTTACGTTTCCAGTTTGCAACCACTTCTTCTTCTATGTTTACTGGCGGATTACAGTTGTGAGTAAAGCTTACCCAACTTCCAAGCTTCTGACAAAACTGTGTGTGTATAGCCATACATACTTCGCTTCTAACCAGTCTATGGGAATGCACCTAATTCGCTTTTTTTAAAGTTTGCCAAGTTGTTTTTGCATTTGGTTTGTCAGCAGGATTATGGAAAACTAGATGTCTGGTTTTCAAGAAATGTGTTGAAATGGTGTTGAATAGGATAAGGAAGAACCCATTACATTTTAGGATGGATCAAAATCACAGAAGTCGGAAACATACTTGGATTTCTTTTAGCTGCTGAATTACGTTCGTTCTTGGTTTAGTAAAATGAATAAAGGAATAAAAATAGTTCTGGATTGAGCTTTAAGTGCTGATATAAATAAGGGCTAAAGACGCTTTATCAGTATGTAGTGTCTCTACTTTAAAGAGTCCTCTCCTGCTGATGTTCAGGTGTATATCAGTATGTAGTGTCTCTACTTTAAAGAGTCCTCTCCTGCTGATGTTCAGGTGTATATCAGTATGTAGTGTCTCTACTTTAAAGAGTCCTCTCCTGCTGATGTTCAGGTGTATATCAGTATGTAGTGTCTCTACTTTAAAGAGTCCTCTCCTGCTGATGTTCAGGTGTATATCAGTATGTAGTGTCTCTACTTTAAAGAGTCCTCTCCTGCTGATGTTCAGGTGTATATCAGTATGTAGTGTCTCTACTTTAAAGAGTCCTCTCCTGCTGATGTTCAGGTGTATATCAGTATGTAGTGTCTCTACTTTAAAGAGTACTCTCCTGCTGATGTTCAGGTGTATGTCAGTATGTAGTGTCTCTACTTTAAAGAGTCCTCTCCTGCTGATGTTCAGGTGTATATCAGTATGTAGTGTCTCTACTTTAAAGAGTCCTCTCCTGCTGATGTTCAGGTGTATATCAGTATGTAGTGTCTCTACTTTAAAGAGTCCTCTCCTGCTGATGTTCAGGTTTATATCAGTATGTAGTGTCTCTACTTTAAAGAGTCCTCTCCTGCTGATGTTCAGGTGTATATCAGTATGTAGTGTCTCTACTTTAAAGAGTCCTCTCTTGCTGATGTTCAGGTGTATATCAGTATGTAGTGTCTCTACTTTAAAGAGTCCTCTCCTGCTGATGTTCAGGTGTATATCAGTATGTAGTGTCTCTACTTTAAAGAGTCCTCTCCTGCTGATGTTCAGGTGTATATCAGTATGTAGTGTCTCTACTTTAAAGAGTCCTCTCCTGCTGATGTTCAGGTGTATATCAGTATGTAGTGTCTCTACTTTAAAGAGTCCTCTCCTGCTGATGTTCAGGTGTATATCAGTATGTAGTGTCTCTACTTTAAAGAGTCCTCTCCTGCTGATGTTCAGGTGTATATCAGTATGTAGTGTCTCTACTTTAAAGAGTCCTCTCCTGCTGATGTTCAGGTGTATATCAGTATGTAGTGTTTCTACTTTAAAGAGTCCTCTCCTGCTGATGTTCAGGTGTATATCAGTATGTAGTGTCTCTACTTTAAAGAGTCCTCTCCTGCTGATGTTCAGGTGTATGTCAGTATGTAGTGTCTCTACTTTAAAGAGTCCTCTCCTGCTGATGTTCAGGTGTGTATCAGTATGTAGTGTCTCTACTTTAAAGAGTCCTCACCTCCTCTTTGACCTCCTTCTTGACCTGCTTCAGACCTGCTCTCAGGTCCATGTTCACGGTGTGTTTTGAGCCCAGAAGAGCTTTCAACATGGCGTCTGCAGACATTCTGACTTTCTTCAGACGGGGTCTCTTGAACTTTCCCCTCAGATCCACAATCTTTATGTTGAGGTCTCGGACCTTCAGGAGGAATCAGGACAGAAGATCAGACTTCCAGAGGGGTGTGTTATGTAGAGATAAAAGAGGAACACTTGTCCTCTAATTCATCACTTAAACTACCAAAATATACTCAAGGAGAGGAACCCATCGAGCCGAAAACATGAGCGTCAGCAGTTTGAACAGTAGAGAGTCTAGAGTTAAACATGAATAAGTCAGTCTTATGGTCTCATCGCAGAAGGACTTCAGATTGTCATTTCTGCGCTGAAGCTGTTTCCGCACACGACGTGTTTTAACTTCCTGAATGAGTGGTGTTGTTGGCAGAGATGGTAGAAGTACACACATCATTCACTCAAGTAGAAGTACAGATACTCGTGTTTAAAAATACTCTGGTGAAAGTAGAAGTACTGACTAAACTTCTTTACTCAAGTGAAAGTAAAGAGGCTTTGAAATGTACTTCAGTAGAAAGTACCCATAACTAGCAGCTGCTTTAAAGAGTACCTGACCTCCCTTTATATTAATAGAACAATAATGTCATTGTTAGCTAATGAATGTTTCCATGCTGAACAACGGCAACATGACAACGTTTCCATTGGTCCCTCTTCTTTAGAGAAGACCAGGAAATGATGGATACACGGATCGTGTTCAAATCAATAGGCACGCAATGACTCTAAAGAATAATGATCACGCATCAAACACACATTCAGACTAAAGGAACCAGCTGTTTGGAAAATGAGAGCAGTAGAAAGTACAGGTATTTGAGTTCAACATGTAAGAAGTAGAAAGTACAGGTATTTGAGTTCAACATGTAAGAAGTAGAAAGTACAGGTATTTGTGTTCAACATGTAAGAAGTAGAAAGTACAGGTATTTGAGTTCAACATGTAAGAAGTAGAAAGTACAGGTATTTGAGTTCAACATGTAAGAAGTAGAAAGTACAGGTATTTGTGTTCAACATGTAAGAAGTAGAAAGTACAGGTATTTGAGTTCAACATGTAAGAAGTAGAAAGTACAGGTATTTGAGTTCAACATGTAAGAAGTAGAAAGTACAGGTATTTGAGTTCAACATGTAAGAAGTAGAAAGTACAGGTATTTGAGTTCAACATGTAAGAAGTAGAAAGTACAGGTATTTGTGTTCAACATGTGAGAAGTAGAAAGTACAGGTATTGTGTTCAACATGTGAGAAGTAGAAAGTACAGGTATTTGTGTTCAACATGTGAGAAGTAGAAAGTAAAAAGTCGTCAGAAAATAAGTAGTGGAGTAAAGTACTGATACCAGAAAAATGTACTTAAGTACAGGAACAAAGTATTTGTACTCCACTACTTCCCAGTTCTAGTCAGAAGTAAGTGTCTCACCTCGTTGAGCACCATGTTCAGTTTGAACTCGATGCTGTATCTCTCCTCCTCTCCGAGGTCGATCTGATCATGGAGTGTCTTAACAAGCCCCTGAAGAGAAAAAACCCGTCAGGCAGTTACAGCGGTTATCCATATTAGACGATGACTGCACCCTCTGCGCTCAGAATCTAAGCTTCTTGCTTCGGGCCGGAGGTCAGTCGTCCCAAAGAGAAGAACGAAGCGGTATAAAAACGGTTTTATCCCAGCAGCTATTGCACAAATGAGCACATCATAGGATGTAGGCCACTATACAATAGCGGCCTATTCATTTATTTATTTGATTGTGAATTTTGAATGTCCATGTTTGTACTAGTGTTTTCCTTTTTAAATGTTTTTGAATATTTAGAGATTTGACGGAGCAGTGTGTACTTTTATTAGTTCTTTTATTAGAGGTGTGTCTGTGTTTGTTTTTAGAGTGTGTCAGGATGCATCCCTTGTCTTTTTCTAACTAAATCTACCTAACCCTAACCCTGCCGGTCCGCTGCAACTCTGACTTTAAATCCAGGCTGAAAACTTTTCTTTTTGTCGCTGCTTTTAATTGAACTATTCACATCTTAAACTGCACTGTAACTTCTATCCATGTATTTTTTCTTTTAATGTTTATTTTATTAGCTTTTCTTTTTAATGACTGATTTTAAAAATGCCATTTTCTTAATGTCTTTCATTTTTTGTAAAGCACTTTGAATTGCCTTGTGTTGAAAAGTGCTATATAAATAAACTTGCCTTGCCTTGCCTTGCCTTGCCTTGCTGCCTTGCCTTGCCTGCCTTGCCTTGCCTTGCCTTGCCTTGCCTTGCCTTGCCTTGCCTTGCCTTGCCTTGCCTTGCCTTGCCTTGCCTTGCCTTGCCTTGCCTTGCCTTGCCTTGCCTTGCCTTGCCTTGCCTTGCCTTGCCTTGCCTTGCCTTGCCTTGCCTTGCCTTGCCTTGCCTTGCCTTGCCTTGCCTTGCCTTGCCTTGCCTTGCCTTGCCTTGCCTTGCCTTGCCTTGCCTTGCCTTGCCTTGCCTTGCCTGCCTTGCCTTGCCTTGCCTTGCCTTGCCTTGCCTTGCCTTGCCTTGCCTTGCCTTGCCTTGCCTTGCCTTGCCTTGCCTTGCCTTGCCTTGCCTTGCCTTGCCTTGCCTTGCCTTGCCTTGCCTTGCCTTGCCTTGCTGCCTTGCCTTGGCCTTGCCTTGCCTTGCCTTGCCTTGCCTTGCCTTGCCTTGCCTTGCCTTGCCTTGCCTTGCCTTGCCTTGCCTTGCCTTGCCTTGCCTTGCCTTGCCTTGCCTTGCCTTGCCTTGCCTTGCCTTGCCTTGCCTTGCCTTGCCTTGCCTTGCCTTGCCTTGCCTTGCCTTGCCTTACGTGTCTCATGTCGTGAACCCATAAAACAGACACAGAGTGTGTGCTGGGAACCCTTTTATCTGACTAAATATATTACTTTTGAGGGGTCCAACTGTTGTGGTAAATGAAAAAGCAGTAGTATTTTGGGGAAAAGTCGTTATATTTTAAGGGAAAAGTGTTGAAATATTTGGAGAAAAAAAGCCATAATATTTCAAGAAAAGAGCTGAAGTATTATTAGGAAAATAAGTCATAATAGCCGTGACCCTGCCCCCCAAAAGATAACAAGACAATTCACAATATTTAGAGAAAGTTATTTTAACATTTTTGTTAGTATTTCAAGAAAAGAGTTGCAGTATTTTGAGGCAAAATGTCGTAATATCTCCAAAAAAACATCAACAATTGCTTTTAGTTGGAGGGTAACATTTTGTCATGTAAAAAAAAACTACAAAAATAGTAAAAATCCTCAGGAAAAAGTCATAATGTTTTGATTTAATGTATTATTGGGAGTAAAAGAGTCTAAATGTACGTTCAGTCACGCCACAGCTGCATTTATCAGCTCCTATGGGCGTCCTCTTTTAACCAATCACATTTCACCACAATCTCCAGCAGCCAATCATTGTATATATATTTATAGTTAGATTTCTTTCCATGCTCCCCCCCCCCCTCACACAGTGGATCTCACCAGCAGCTCGTCCCTGGAGTACGGCAGCTCCAGAGCAGGAACCTTCTCCTCCAGGAACTTCTCTCTCTCCGACACTTTCACATTCGATTCAGCGTCCAACAGATTTGTGGCAACCAGCAGCATGGATCCCTGTGGAGGAGGACGTCGTGCAACCTTTTAATATCTTAAAGGTCCCCTATCATCCTGTTCTTCATCAGTATATCCCAGCTCTCAGATATATCCAGAGCCTGTCTCTGATTGGCTGAAACACCAAACAGATCATTGCAGCATTACCCATAATCCCCTCTGTTTCAGCCCTGTTTCCAAAGTGCTGATTCTCTGTCTGTTACTTTAGATGAAAATAAGGGGGGGGGGGGTTACCTTGGTTGCTGATTGGCTAATGGCTACACAAGACAAAACATCGTTATGACATCATCAAGTGTCCAAAATCTGGTTTTTATAAAAATGGATCAGGACAAAAAGAGAGAGAATCTTTGTTCCTGAAACTTTCAGAGTCTCTTTCCACAGAGGACATGTTGATGTAGAAGAGACATGAAGAAGAGGGGACACATGTTGATGAAGAAGAGACATGAAGAAGAGGGGACACATGTTGATGTAGAAGAGACATGAAGAAGAGGGGACACATGTTGATGTAGAAGAGACATGAAGAAGAGGGGACACATGTTGATGTAGAAGAGACATGAAGAAGAGGGGACACATGTTGATTTAGAAGAGACATGAAGAAGAGGGGACACATGTTGATGTAGAAGAGACATGAAGAAGAGGGGACACATGTTGATGTAGAAGAGACATGAAGAAGAGGGGACACATGTTGATGTAGAAGAGACATGAAGAAGAGAGGACACATGTTGATGTAGAAGAGACATGAAGAAGAGGGGACACATGTTGATGTAGAAGAGACATGGAGAAGAGGGGACACATGTTGATGTAGAAGAGACATGAAGAAGAGGGGACACATGTTGATGTGGAAGAGACATGAAGAAGAGGATTTTGTAAATCTATAAATACAGCTCTGCTTTTCTTCGTGGAGAATAAAAACTAAATGTCTTACTTTCAGAGTATGCTTACGCCTCGCAGACAGTCTCTTCCTGCAGGAGAACAAAACAGAAAACAGGACAATAATGTTTTCAATAAATCATTTAATCTGTTTTTATAATGAGGAGTGTTTTAAAGTGTTTGATGCTCATGGCTAAAAGCCTCAAACATTTCTATTTGGAGAATCACACAACAATATAATATTAATAAACTGAACTTACTCATCTGCCATGGTAGCAGCAGAATCCCGGCTTGAAGAGGAACATGAAAGACAAAGCATTACAACGACACCTGTACCATTTATACAAATAACACATTCTGATAAACTGAGTGACAAAAACACGTTAACATAACCCCCACTTATTTGATGTTACGTATCAAGTGTTACCTTATTGTTGATGAAAGGAATATCTGTATCTTCATTTATTTCAAGACAGCAAAAAACAACGCTAACTTTCTTCGTCACAATTCACAAAATCAGCTTTAATTTAAAAATAAATCTTGTTCTTTGAAGGGAAATTCAAGGCAAGCTTGCAGCAGAAAAACACGATCCATTCTCAGATAAAACACACTCTCCATGTTACATATAAACATAAGCATTATCCACCACGACACAGACAGACACATACTGGGAGGGAAACTTCTGAAGCAATAGGAGTCAGGACTCAGAGAGACACGAGGAGAGCTGGAGCTTTGATGGAGTCAGGACTCAGAGAGACACGAGGAGAGCTGGAGCTCTGATGGAGTCAGGACTCAGAGAGACGAGGAGAGCTGGAGCTCTGATGGAGTCAGGACTCAGAGACACGAGGAGAGCTGGAGCTTTGATGGAGTCAGGACTCAGAGAGACACGAGGAGAGCTGGAGCTTTGATGGAGTCAGGACTCAGAGACACGAGGAGAGCTGGAGCTCTGATGGAGTCAGGACTCAGAGACACGAGGAGAGCTGGAGCTCTGATGGAGTCAGGACTCAGAGAGACACGAGGAGAGCTGGAGCTCTGATGGAGTCAGGACTCAGAGAGACACGAGGAGAGCTGGAGCTCTGATGGAGTCAGGACTCAGAGAGACACGAGGAGAGATGGAGCTTTGATGGAGTCAGGACTCAGAGAGACACGAGGAGAGCTGGAGCTCTGATGGAGTCAGGACTCAGAGACACAAGGAGAGCTGGAGCTCTGATGGAGTCAGGACTCAGAGAGACACGAGGAGAGCTGGAGCTCTGATGGAGTCAGGACTCAGAGAGATACGAGGAGAGCTGGAGCTTTGATGGAGTCAGGACTCAGAGAGACACGAGGAGAGCTGGAGCTCTGATGGAGTCAGGACTCAGAGAGACACGAGGAGAGCTGGAGCTTTGATGGAGTCAGGACTCAGAGAGACATGAGGAGAGCTGGAGCTTTGATGGAGTCAGGACTCAGAGAGACACGAGGAGAGCTGGAGCTTTGATGGAGTCAGGACTCAGAGAGACACGAGGAGAGCTGGAGCTCTGATGGAGTCAGGACTCAGAGAGACACGAGGAGAGCTAGAGCTTTGATGGAGTCAGGACTCAGAGAGACACAAGGAGAGCTGGAGCTCTGATGGAGTCAGGACTCAGAGAGACACGAGGAGAGCTGGAGCTCTGATGGAGTCAGGACTCAGAGAGACACGAGGAGAGCTGGAGCTTTGATGGAGTCAGGACTCAGAGACACACGAGGAGAGCTGGAGCTCTGATGGAGTCAGGACTCAGAGAGACACGAGGAGAGCTGGAGCTCTGATGGAGTCAGGACTCAGAGAGACACGAGGAGAGCTGGAGCTTTGATGGAGTCAGGACTCAGAGAGACACGAGGAGAGCTGGAGATTTGATGGAGTCAGGACTCAGAGAGACACGAGGAGAGCTGGAGCTCTGATGGAGTCAGGACTCAGAGAGACACGAGGAGAGCTGGAGCTTTGATGGAGTCAGGACTCAGAGAGACACGAGGAGAGATGGAGCTTTGATGGAGTCAGGACTCAGAGAGACACGAGGAGAGCTGGAGCTCTGATGGAGTCAGGACTCAGAGAGACATGAGGAGAGCTGGAGCTTTGATGGAGTCAGGACTCAGAGAGACACGAGGAGAGCTGGAGCTCTGATGGAGTCAGGACTCAGAGAGACACGAGGAGAGCTGGAGCTTTGATGGAGTCAGGACTCAGAGAGACACGAGGAGAGCTGGAGCTCTGATGGAGTCAGGACTCAGAGAGACACGAGGAGAGCTGGAGCTTTGATGGAGTCAGGACTCAGAGAGACACGAGGAGAGATGGAGCTTTGATGGAGTCAGGACTCAGAGAGACACGAGGAGAGCTGGAGCTCTGATGGAGTCAGGACTCAGAGACACGAGGAGAGCTGGAGCTCTGATGGAGTCAGGACTCAGAGAGACACGAGGAGAGCTGGAGCTCTGATGGAGTCAGGACTCAGAGAGATACGAGGAGAGCTGGAGCTCTGATGGAGTCAGGACTCAGAGAGACACGAGGAGAGCTGGAGCTCTGATGGAGTCAGGACTCAGAGAGACACGAGGAGAGCTGGAGCTTTGATGGAGTCAGGACTCAGAGAGACACGAGGAGAGCTGGAGCTTGATGGAGTCAGGACTCAGAGAGACACGAGGAGAGCTGGAGCTTTGATGGAGTCAGGACTCAGAGAGACGAGGAGAGCTGGAGCTTTGATGGAGTCAGGACTCAGAGAGACACGAGGAGAGCTGGAGCTCTGATGGAGTCAGGACTCAGAGAGACACGAGGAGAGCTGGAGCTTTGATGGAGTCAGGACTCAGAGAGACACGAGGAGAGCTGGAGCTTTGATGGAGTCAGGACTCAGAGAGACACGAGGAGAGCTGGAGCTTTGATGGAGTCAGGACTCAGAGAGACGAGGAGAGCTGGAGCTTTGATGGAGTCAGGACTCAGAGAGACGAGGAGAGCTGGAGCTCTGATGGAGTCAGGACTCAGAGAGACACGAGGAGAGCTGGAGCTTTGATGGAGTCAGGACTCAGAGAGACGAGGAGAGCTGGAGCTTTGATGGAGTCAGGACTCAGAGAGACGAGGAGAGCTGGAGCTCTGATGGAGTCAGGACTCAGAGAGACGAGGAGAGCTGGAGCTTTGATGGAGTCAGGACTCAGAGACACACGAGGAGAGCTGGAGCTTTGATGGAGTCAGGACTCAGAGAGACACGAGGAGAGCTGGAGCTCTGATGGAGTCAGGACTCAGAGACACGAGGAGAGCTGGAGCTCTGATGGAGTCAGGACTCAGAGACACGAGGAGAGCTGGAGCTCTGATGGAGTCAGGACTCAGAGAGACACGAGGAGAGCTGGAGCTCTGATGGAGTCAGGACTCAGAGAGACACGAGGAGAGCTGGAGCTTTGATGGAGTCAGGACTCAGAGAGACACGAGGAGAGCTGGAGCTTTGATGGAGTCAGGACTCAGAGAGACACAAGGAGAGCTGGAGCTTTGATGGAGTCAGGACTCAGAGAGACACGAGGAGAGCTGGAGCTTTGATGGAGTCAGGACTCAGAGAGACACGAGGAGAGCTGGAGCTTTGATGGAGTCAGGACTCAGAGGGACACGAGGAGAGCTGGAGCTTTGATGGAGTCAGGACTCAAAGAGACACAAGGAGAGCTGGAGCTTTGATGGAGTCAGGACTCAGAGAGACACGAGGAGAGCTGGAGCTCTGATGGAGTCAGGACTCAGAGAGACACGAGGAGAGCTAGAGCTTTGATGGAGTCAGGACTCAGAGAGACGAGGAGAGCTGGAGCTTTGATGGAGTCAGGACTCAGAGAGACGAGGAGAGCTGGAGCTTTGATGGAGTCAGGACTCAGAGAGACACGAGGAGAGCTGGAGCTCTGATGGAGTCAGGACTCAGAGACACACGAGGAGAGCTGGAGCTTTGATGGAGTCAGGACTCAGAGAGACACGAGGAGAGCTGGAGCTTTGATGGAGTCAGGACTCAGAGAGAGACGAGGAGAGCTGGAGCTCTGATGGAGTCAGGACTCAGAGACACACGAGGAGAGCTGGAGCTTTGATGGAGTCAGGACTCAGAGACACACGAGGAGAGCTGGAGCTTTGATGGAGTCAGGACTCAGAGAGACACGAGGAGAACTGGAGCTCTGATGGAGTCAGGACTCAGAGAGACACGAGGAGAGCTGGAGCTCTGATGGAGTCAGGACTCAGAGACACACGAGGAGAGCTGGAGCTTTGATGGAGTCAGGACTCAGAGAGAGACGAGGAGAGCTGGAGCTCTGATGGAGTCAGGACTCAGAGACACACGAGGAGAGCTGGAGCTTTGATGGAGTCAGGACTCAGAGAGAGACGAGGAGAGCTGGAGCTCTGATGGAGTCAGGACTCAGAGAGACACGAGGAGAGCTGGAGCTCTGATGGAGTCAGGACTCAGAGAGAGACGAGGAGAGCTGGAGCTCTGATGGAGTCAGGACTCAGAGAGACACGAGGAGAGCTGGAGCTCTGATGGAGTCAGGACTCAGAGACACACGAGGAGAGCTGGAGCTTTGATGGAGTCAGGACTCAGAGAGACACGAGGAGAGCTGGAGCTCTGATGGAGTCAGGACTCAGAGAGACACGAGGAGAGCTGGAGCTTTGATGGAGTCAGGACTCAGAGAGACGAGGAGAGCTGGAGCTCTGATGGAGTCAGGACTCAGAGAGACACGAGGAGAGCTGGAGCTCTGATGGAAAACACTGACGGTTTATTTGGAGCTTCGGCCGGGTCACGGGTCATGGTCTGACCACACGGTGGAGATGCCAAATCAATTCTGAAGACCCCTTCCTCTCGTATGAGGTTTTAACTAGTTTCGCTGAGGGTAATCAACATTCTTCACTAGATAGACTAAACAGATTTGTTGTCGCTTATGGCTCGGGGTCATCTACGCCCCGAGAAGGATGTGTTCCAGGTGTCCCACAACAATAACTATCTCTGACCGAGAGCTGCCCGCTCACAAACTGGTAACAACAACAACAACTTGCTCGGGCAGCCCCTCCTTGAGGGAGATTACGGCTGCTCGAGGCTGGAGCATCTGCGTCAGAGGGCGAAAGAGGACACTAGGGCAAATGAGTCCCTAACACATACAACATTTTAAAATCTCTGTCAAACACAGTTCACACAGTGCTTGTATGAGAGTGTTTACTTCTAGTCTTAAAGTGGGTTTCGGTTCGATTGTAATTATATGTTTGGAGGCATTACTTGCTTGTAAAGCGCGTTGAGCACCAGGAAAAGCACATTATAAATAACATGTTTTATTAATATTTAAATAAAAA